GAGAGCCTGAGATTACGGAAACCGAATTAAGGAGCTAAAGTACCTGCTTTCAATTAGGCAGTATGCCGATAAAGATGTGGAAGTACCCTATCATTTTCCACAAGCTCAAAGAGTTTTAACAGTGGTGCGGACTGGAAGTGGGGGCCAAGCCAATTTGGGCAATGATCGAGGAGGCGATTGCTTCTTTTTAAAATGGCCTTGCCCATTGCCATCACTCATAATGAACAGTTGAATCAGCTATCTAAACTTTGTGCAGGGAGGGTCCCCGTTTTAGTTCACCCATCCCTGTATAGAGCTTTGAAATTAACTTTCCCCTGGGATATCGGTGGAATCTCCTAGACGGTACCATCAAAACTGAAATGGGCCATGGGTCTATGGGAGAGGCTGTCGGTATCCTTACCCCGGCCATGTTTAAAGCAGGTAAACAACCCTAATCGGACTTCTCAATGGCTCTCTGGTTAGCTACGTTAAATGTGCGGGGCCTGAGGTCCGAGTCTCGCAGGGCGAGGCTCTCTCGTGACCTTCAGCGCCTCGGGGTGAATGTTTGTTGTGTGCAAGAGACCCGGTTTTCTTCTCATGACCGTGAGGATATACTGTCTAGAGGGTTCGCCCTTTATTCAGCATGTTTTGATGGTCGTTCGAGGGGTGTCTCTTGGCTAGTGAGCAGGTCTTTGAAGGCTGCTTGTACCCTTGTCTTCGCAGATCCGGCGGGCAGGCTTTGTGTGCTGGATGTTACTATAAAGGATAAGGCTTTACGTATCATTGGGGTTTATGCGCCCAATAGTCATACTGAGCGGCCTGCTTTGTTTCGGCAGATCGAGCCGTTTTGACGACTTTCGTCGGGTAGTCTTAGAGGGGATTGGAATGCCGTCCTTGACCTCGATATAGATCGTATAGGTAAAAAAACCGGGTACTAACAATCCTGATGTGAAGGCATTTCGGGGCTTTATCGGCAAGTTTGATCTTGTCGATAAGTACCGGAATGAGCACCCTCAGGAGGTAGCATGGACTTGGACAACTAGTGGCGACTCGGATCCTGGCTCGCTTGCGAGCTACCTGGACCGAGTGTTAGTTAGGAGAGTCGATGTAGGGCTCTTAGAGTGTCCAAGTTTCCACTATATAGTTTATACGGATCATAGGCTTGTCCGGGTCCGTGTAAACTTAGATAAGCCTAAGGTTAGGATGGCTGGTTACTGGAAATTTAACTGTTCATTATTTGGTGAGCAGGATTTCCGGGACCAGCTGCTACTAATGATTCAGAGGGAATTGACGGGGCGGTTGTGGGTAACGCCTGGTGGAAAAAAATTAAAATCTAAGATTAGAACGTTTGCTGCCGATTTTAGTCGTCGACTCAATCTAGATAGATTAGCGGCGCAAACGGCGTTAGAAGATAAAGTTGATCGGGCCGTGAAATCCCGTGTTAGTGGGGACATAGTCGTAGCTAAGGCAGAGTTGGCCTCCTTGCTTATCAAGAAGGATCAAGCTCTGGTAGTTAGGGCTAGGCTAAAAAAAGAATGTCTTCTGAGGCGACGAATATGGCCGCTGAATTGCGTGCAGAGGAGAATAGGAACGCGGCTAAGCGACATATAGCGTGCGTCACATTGCCGGATAAGCGGACCGTGACTACAAGCGCGGGCATATGCGGGGCCTTTCGGCTTTATTTTCACCAGGGAGCCCGGTCTGAGCTCTGCTCAGTTCGATGCCTATTTGGCTGACTTTCCCTGCCTTGAGGCAGCTGAAGCGGCTAGGTGCGAGGGTCCCCTAACAGAGTCGGAAATCTGGGATGCGCTGAAGCAGGTTGGCCTGGATAAGTCTCCGGGACTAGATGGACTTCCCTACGAAGTGTACTTGAGGCTGTCGCCCGTTTTTGTTCCTTTGCTGCAGCTGATTTACAACCACTGGATGTGGCAGGGTCTTTACCTCGACGCTTCACCAGGGGTGTGATCAAGTTGTTGCGTAAGGACAAGAACGGTGGGGATGGGTTAGGGAACTTTCGCCCTTTGACGATGTTAAATACTGACTTAAAGATTTTTGGCGAAGATCTTAGCCAACCGTTTTGCAGCTTGTCCTGTCTCGTCTGATTGGCCCCGGAACAGACTTGTTCTGTGAAGGGCAGGACGATTCAGGATAACCTTCATATGGTACGCTTGATCTTAGAACAAGTCGACAGTGAAGCCGCGCTGATCAATTTAGATCAGTCCAAGGCCTTCGATAGGGTTGACCATCGGTTTCTGGAGGCTGTCCTGTCGGCGGCCGGTTTCGGAGCCGACTTTCGCCCTGGATCCGACTCTTTGTATGCGACCCCGGTGCGCTGGTGGAAGTGAATGGGGTAAGGTCGGAGCCTTTCGTATTGTCTCGCTCCATTCGTCAAGGTTGTCCGCTATCGCCCTTGCTTTTTACGTTCTTGCGTTGGAACCATTCCTTCGCAAGTTAAAGGCGAATCCGGTCCTGCGCGGAATTACCCTGCCTGGCGCTACCACCTCGGCCAGGTATTCTGCCTATGCTGACGACGTTTCGGCTCTTGTGTCGAGCAGAGTCGAGATTAACGAAGTCAGCAAAGAAATAAGTGGGTATGAGATGGTGACGGGGCCAAGATCAACCGTGATAAGTCTGTGGGCTTGCGGTTGGGTGCGTGGAAGGGAGTTTCTCTTCCCGGACCTTTCCTCTGGACGGATGGGCCGATCAAGATACTCGGCATCAGCTTAAAGTCAAGATCAGGACGGAAAGGCGGCGGCTCACCTCATCGGAATTCAGCAAAAGGTGGGTGATTCTTGCGCGAATGTGCCGAGTAAAAGGGGCTGACCTTGAGTGGCATCTGGATGCCGGTTAGGCATTAAGGATATTGTTTTCCTGGGTTGAACATAGGCAACCCATCCCGGAGTTAGGTTAGATTAGGTTTTTTTGTATTTTTTCTTTTAGTTTTTCTATTCTGGTAAACTTAGCTAGGGTGTATTTGCTCATTGGTCCCTTTTATTTCTGTCCCCATTTTCTTTTCCTTTAGTTTAACTCCCCATCCCCTCCCTCGTTTTAGGTGGTCAGTGATGTCAGTTCTCTGGTAGATGCGGGGCGCTTTTCGTTTTCGTGCGTGTGTTTTTCGTATTTGTTGTTGTGTATGAATGAGTGTGTGTCTGTGTGAATGCTTGGGATGAATGAGTGTGGCTTTATTTTTTCATAAGTCCCGCATCGATTTCGTCCGGTTAACTGATATTTCTGCCACATTCAATAGTTTGTGGGGGGTTTTATTACTAACACTAATTTTATTTGGTTTCTTGTAAATATTATTTTGTCATTTTGTATATATTTCATTGGGGATCTTTTTAGAAGTTGTTGTTTTTTATGCCCCTCCCCCCACAGACAATATTTGTACATAATGGGATCATTTAGGTTTTTTCATGGAGTCAAAGAGGCATTTTTGGTGTATGTAGTAAGAAAGGTATGGATAAATGTGTTGTTTTGGTGAAAGGAATATTGTTCAGTATGATAGGGTCAGTGGATGTGGCTAGCTAAGTTTTAATCTAAGACAAGTGATGACCGTTCTTTACCCCAACCCCCTTTTTGGCCTTGTGCCACATTTGTACCTTAGTACAATAAATAATGTCAGGATTTCACACTCGGAGAGATGCCAACCAATTCCACGTCAATTTAAACTTTGACTTTCCCGCGCGAATTAACCTGACTCAGCAACCTAATGGTTTACTCAATCTCTCTATCAAACAAACTTCTCAAAAATTCATTTACTTTACTTGAGAAAGTGAAATATATATTCACTACATATTAGTAACAGTAACAAAGAAAACTTTCAACAATTAACAGTTCAAGGTACGCAACTTTGTACAACTTAAGAATATTTACAATAACACTCGTATACACACATTAACATTTGAACTGTAAAATCAAACACTTTTGGACGTTGAACAGCAAACTTTTTTTAATTCTTACCATAAATCATCAAAACATTGATTTAAGCATTTAAACATAATCAACAACAAACTACATGTCTTATTACACAAATATACAACAAATCACCAACTCATTTGTATATATTTAAATTGTATATAAATTAATGTTATTGTTATGCATTCAACTTTTGTCTTGCTTTTCCAACTTTATTTGCATGATTTGTTCAAAGTAATTGTTGTGGACGAATGTTTTAGAACACATACTCGAAATTCCTTCTGATTAATAAAAACACAACAACCAGTCCGCAACAAATCCATATCTTCTCCTTCCACCTATGGGTTGAATAGACAAGCATTGTTCAATAGACTTGGGTGGTAACCAGTCCACTGCACCAAGTTATGGCAATCTACTGCGAGAAATCCTTCTGTCTAGTCAGTCATGGCTCGAAGGAGACATGATCTTCTAAGTGTATAGCACGTATCGGATTTATCTGAATGACTCTATCTGCTATTAATCGCTTCTATTGGAAGGCAAGTCTTTGTTTGCATTCGTATAATCGTGTTTTTATAATTAACTAGTTTTTTTGAAAAAAAATTCTTTTGAATATGAAAACATTAGTGTTTAATATCGGTTAATCTCTGTGCGTCTCTTATTAAGTCTTTTAATTGAAGAAGTCCAGGCATTACATTTCAAACAACAATCGTACATTTTTAAAATCAGTCGTGAAATATAGAATTAATGCCTTGTTTAACCACTCAGATAACTTCTTAACAATAAGGTGCTAATATCAATGACGTATTGGTTTTAACTCCCAACCTTTTTGCATTAATAAGCGGATTTTGTTGGTTATCGGAGCCGCAGCTGCGCGTCATTGAACACGCATGCGCGTTTGAAAAATGAGCAGCGGTTGAAGTATTTTCAACGAATCAGCAGACTGTCTACTTGAGCATCACCTGTGAAACATTTGTTTTATTCTGATATCGTCTAATTCTAACAGAATAATGGAATATATATTATTAATCATTTTACACCACGGGGTTATGCAATGTGTGCAGATGAATGCGAAATTATTGTCAGGAGCAAGAAAGAGAGAGAGAGAGTTAGCGATGGAGCAAGAACTGGAGAGAGAAAGAGGGAGCGATAGAGCGAGAACTAGAGATAGAGAGAGGGAGCGATGGACCGAGAACTGCAGAGAGAGAGAGAGAGGGAGCGATGGAGCGAGAACTGGAGAGAGAGGGAGAGAGGGAACGATGGAGCAAGAAAGAGAGCGAGGGAGAGAGAGAGGGAGAGATGGAGCGAGAAGAGAGAGAGGGAGAGAGGGAACGATGGAGCAAGAAAGAGAGAGAAGAGGGAGCGATGGAGCGAGAGAGAGAGAGGGAGCGATGGACCGAGAACTGCAGAGAGAGAGAGAGGGAGCGATGGAACGAGAACTGAGAGAGAGAGAGAGAGAGAGAGAGAGAGGGGAGGGAACGATGGAGCAAGAAAGAGAGAGAGGGAGAGAGAGAGGGAGCGATGGAGCGAGAACTGGAGAGAGAGGGAGCGATGGAGCAAGAAAAGAGAGAGAGGGGAGCCTGGAGCGAGAACTGGAGAGAGAGAGAGAGAGAGAGAGAGAGGGAATGATGGAGCAAGAAAGAGAGAGAGAGAGAGAGAGGGAGCGAGAACTGGACAGAGAGAGAGGGAGCGATGGAGCGAGAACTGGAGAGAGAGAGATGGAGCGATGGAGTGAGAGCTGGAGAGAGAGAGCGACGGAGCAAGAATGGAGGGAGCGATGGATTAAGAAAGAGAGAGAGAGGGAGCGATGGAACGAAAACTGGAGAGAGAGAGGGAGTGGTGGAGCTAGAACTGGAGAGAGAAAGAGGGAGAGATGGAGCAAGAAAGAGAGAAAGAGAGAGCGATGGAGCGAGAACTGGAGAAAGAGAGGGAGCGATGGAGCGAGAACTGGAGAGAGAGAGAGGGAGCGATGGAACAAGAAAGAGAGAGAGAGAGCGGGAGCGATGGAGCGAGAACTGGAGAGAGAGAGAGAGAGGGGGGAGATTGGTTGATGGAGGAGTGATAACAATCTTCTCGGCTGAAGCATGAGTAAAATTTAAAAAAATAATAAAGATTTTTAGTTTTTTGTCATACATTTTCTAATCCATTTTCATACATAATTTTCAATAGGATTCATTGAAAACGACATGAGTTTGTTTATTATTACATGCAAAAAGACGGGCTTCGTTGAATAACGTTTGCCTTGATTCCAGACTAACGACATTTATTTTCTTCTCGGTGTTCTACATATTTCATGATATTTATTAATGTAAAATACTTACGCAGAAGATTTAACAAAGGATTTTAACTCAATTCAAGAACCAGGCAAGGTACAGGGGTTATGTGTTGTAAAGATATAATGTGTTAAACTTGTCGTGATCCGGAAGAATTAATTCTGGAGAAGGAGATATGTTATGTGAATGGACTTTCTCCTTACAAGTGCATTACGAATGGAATGAAGATTAGCCGACACTGTATTCGAGAAATTGAGGGTTGGAACTGTTGATACAAAGGTGTGAAACTGCCCGAATAGTCATGCATTTACAGTAACGCTTCCATACACACTGGATGAAAGACAATCGCTTTTATATGCATTTTCATACATGTTCAATCATGTATTCATTAATAATATCAGTATATATATATATATATATATATATATATATATATATATATATATATATATATATATACCCAATAGCAGGTCACATAATTCATTATACATACATTAGGCAAATTTTTAATTAGCCAACGTCGTTACACAGGTTTTCTGGGGGTAGCCTTTTAAATGTATTCATTCTGACCGGCTTTAATCTGGTTTTGGTTTAATCTGTGTTAATGTCACACTTACATATTCTAATTAAAAATTTTGAAATAAAACGTTTATTTGCTGATTTCCCTACAATCTGCAGTTTTACTAATAAATATTTTAATTGAAGATAGGATTTTGAATACGTGGCCATTTAAACGTGTTCATTCTGACCTGGTGAATTTATTTTCATACGTCAATATTTTTACATTGATGATCCCCTGGTCCAAGTCCCTAGGACAACTCGAGTTAGCGGGTTACAGGATAAGGGGTATACATATGCGGATATGTGAGGAAGATAACGGTTATGGCCAAACTTGAACAGATTGTAGAGATCGAGGTAGAAATCTCTCGCGAGTTGATTCCATAATTGTTATGGCCCGGTTATTTGTACCACGTTGATAGTCCAAGATAGAACCAACAAAGAAGAACGCGAAAACAGGTATGGAATAACACAGATATATTACAAACAGGAATATATACAGAGAAGTAGAAGTGTTAGCATGAACAATCAGGTTTAGTATAGAGAACAATGTAGTCTCGACCAGTATCACTATTCAGTAATTGTCTGAACGCGACTCTGTTTCGGACTGCCTTTGACTCGACTCTTGACTCGACTTGAAATACTGACTCCTTGCCTACTCCTGAGGCGCAGTATTTATTAAGTATGGAATAGCCCATTATTATCATTATGGTTAAGATCCCATAACAATAATGTAATGGTTCGTGGGAATAATCTACTAGTGTGAAACTTGTATCTCATCAATGGAATACAAAGAGAATGGGGATGTTAAAATATGCGTGGCGTGGTGGGTCTCAGACATGAATGATGGAACATGCTGAACTAATAGATGTAGTATGTCTGATAACTTTCCGTGGATATAGCCATAAAGCAACGAAAGACTTGCGACGTCTTTTCTGGAGAAAGCAGTTCTTGGGTGGAATCTAAGTTGTCAGTCACAACGACGCGGAGTAGCTTTTGGTTTCCATCAGGAATGGAAAATGAAGTCTGTACTGTATCTATGGGAAAGAAATGTAATTTAAAATGACAACACGTGTTTGGATCTACATAGATTTTAGGGACAAAAATTCCCTCACTGATAATTTTGAGGGAATTGAAATGCCTTGTTGCATCAAAAAGAGAATATCCAGAAGTGACTCCAACGGAATCAAAAGTAAAATTACCTTCCATTTACAAATCGGTAAAACAAAAGATATCTGAACAGACAACACTGAATCCTGAAGCAGATGGGCTACAGCATCGGTTGATCACACATGATGAATATGTGTAAAGAACTTGAAACGGAGGATGTGATCCACTGAGGTTAAACATTTCATAATTATTATAAAACCCAGGTTGTGTGTGTGTCTGTACGTTTATATATTGGATCGGATTTCCTACATTTTTCAACCGATTTTAACAAAACTTCAAAGGACTACGTAAAATTACCTTGCACTGGTTCTGACAGCGTCAAAAATTAGAAAAACACAATTGTTCTTGTACGAAATCAATTTGAAAACACGATTAAGAGGCATCGCGAGAATGAAAGGGGGACATCTCATATAGTTATACTTAAAACCCAGGTTGTTTGTGTGTGTGTGTGTGTGTGTGTGTGTGTGTGTGTGTGTGTGTGTTTATATATGGGATCGGATTTCCTTCATTTTTTAACCGATTTCAACAAAACTTCACTTTTTTCTTGGCAGGTAGTGTTTCTTATTATCTTGCACATTTTTCTTTATTTTTACATTCAGAATGCTTTAAAAATTTCATTTACAAGACAATTGCTTATAATAAAATTCTATTCAATCGATAGACTCATAACGATTGAAAACAATGTTTTCGTTTGAGTTTGACCAATTCGTAAAAAAAACAAAAAGAAAAAACTAATTAAGACATGCGTGTCCGTCAACTTTAAACAAAAATCTTTGTCAATTTTATTTTTCAGTCTTTAATGATGGTCGATACTTGATCTATTTACAAGACAATTGCTTATAATAAAATTCTATTCAATCGGTAGACTCATAACGATTGAAAACAATGTTTTTGCTTGAGTTTGGGTTTGGCCACTTTGTAAAAAAAAATAATTAGGACATGCGTGTCCTTCAACCTTAAACAAAAATCTTTGTTAATTTTATTTTTCAGTCTTTATGATGGTCGATACTTTATCTATCTCTTACTGTTACATCCCCGGGCAACACCGGGCTCTACTTCTAGTTACAAATAGATTGGAAAACGTATGCCATGACTCATGAATCTCACTCTTTGCTACGAAATGTCGATGGAGAGGTTAGAATGTTTCGTTGGTATCACCCTTCTATCAGGCAAGCGGTTATGACTTAATGATAATGGGAATATCTTCTTGAATATGTTGAAATTTTTAGTAGTTGTTATTCTATCAGATCATTGAAAAAATCCGTTTCTGATTTCTATTGTTAATATAAAATGTCAAAATATCCGCAACTTGACACTGGTTTAAAATTTTCTGCCGATTGCTGGTGTGTTCTACATTGAAATATTTAATTTCAGTTTCAAGTCAGACTTTGTTGAATGTTGCCGTCTTGTCCAATAATGAATGACTTAAAGATGAAGAATAAAACGTTGCATTTTTATATATTATTTTCTATTATGTTCGGAGAGGAGTCAGCTTCATATCTGTGTTAAAGCAAAAGAAAACATTCAGAAGGTTTATTTTGATCGTAACCCTGCACTATGAAAAAAATGTTTGGCGGATTCCGTCTGGGTGATTTTACCATGAATTATCAATCTTGTTTGGAGCGACCTACCGACGTACGTCGATAAAGATGTTCTGATTGCCATCGCTGAGAAGAAAGCGAATGTTTCGTTAGAAAATATTTATTTCACCATTTCGATATAATGTCATTTTCTACAACGACAACGCAAGACCACATGTAGCAAAACATGTCCTTGCAGAGACATTACCAGATGACATTGGAAACCCTGTTATGAATTTTGAACGCAATTCAAAATAACAGGAGAACAGGTCAGAAATAACCTTAAGAATAAATTAATTCCCCACAAAAATATGTTAAAACCACGCTATCTATATCTCTCCGATTAATATCGCCATCTCCAGAATATAAGATAATTTATTAAGAAAACCGCACAAGCATTCACATATAAAACATCTACATACAAAATATCACACCCCCTGGCACCCAACGCAATTCTCTTGAATTGTCTTCTTCGGATTATTACTTGCTAGCAGCATGGCCCAGCGTTTCCCGTTCTTGATTCAAAAATTGTACGACGCATACAGCAATCGCTATCACTTATAATATTTTTGCACTTCCTTGCCTTTAAAGGAGTGCCCTGTGCCGTACTGATGTTACTACATGCCTTACTTCTTGCCTATCTCACACTGCGAATTTTTTCTAACCTCTTTACTAAACATTAAATCTGTTACGAAAAAAGAACTAAAGAAAATGAACACAAAACGACCAGCTTTAAAAAGGACTCGTAACTGGAAAAATCGAATTAAAAAAGAATGTTAACAACAAATACTTTTTCACACCCAACACAGTTCTGCGGAATCAGAATCAACGTTGAGTTTAAGCAAGCGAATGAGCCAATTGGAGTAAAGTGCCATGCAGATTTAAATTTTTCCCACTTGTGACGAATGCAGCTATCGATTTTTTTGTGCATGCTAGCTTGCTAGTTAACATTCGTGTCAGTCAGCTGTTGGCTCTCACGCTGGCCAGTAGAATCTTCCTGCCTATTTGTGGCAGCCAGTAGAAAATGACCGCAAACTACATGAAAGCTGTCGTAGAAGCATGAAAAAATCGATAATTTCCACTATCGATGGGAGTAGGGAAATGCAAAGTCGGTCTTGGCCTTTCCGCTTGAACATTTTGGCGTAAATCCTTCGAAAAATGCGGCCACACACACACACACACACACACACACACACACACACACACACACACACACACACACATCCTGCATTTTATAGATAGAGATTATGGTCTCAAATGAACATTTTAAATTACAAAGAATGATTTTGTAGAGTCAGTCATAAACTACCTCACAACTTTCTTCCAACAAAAATCAAGCAGTTTTTAAGACAGTCATCAACAGTTTTGTAAAAAGATGGGATGCAATTGATAAAAACAATGGAGAAGAGACTATGTACTTGACAAATAAATAATTTTAATTGTAATTAAAAAAAAATATTTTAATTTTCTAATCGGGCAAAAAATTTTGTAATGAT